TGACGCCCACCCACTGCTCCAACCTAGCAATGAGGATCTCATGGTCAATGGTGTCAAAGGCGGCTGTGAGGTCCAACAGGACAAGCAGCACAGAATCACCAGTATCTGTGAATCTGAAGATGTCGTTAAAGACCTTCAGCAGGACAGTTTCAGTGCTGTGGAGAGGTTTAAAGCCAGACTGGAAAAGCTCTAAGATGGCGTTATCCTCCAGGAAGCACTTCAACTGGGACTCGACTATTTTCTCTAGTACTTTAGAAACAAATGGGAGTTTGGAGACAGGTCGGAAGTTGGAAACGACTGAGGGGTCAAGGTATAGATTTTTCAGGAGAGGCTGGACAGCAGCATGTTTAAAGGATTTTGGCACCACACCAGTGGATAAACTACTGTTTACTATATCAAGAATGGACGGACCTAGAGTTGGAAAAACCTCCTTTAGTAGTCGAGGGGGGACCACATCAAAGGGGGAACCAGAAGGTTTCAAGTTGCACATGACCTGCTCTAGAGAAGATAGAGTGATGGGTTCAAAATGGTCAAAAGGAGCTACAGATAGAGGTGGGATGGATGGGTCATGAGTTAGAGAGGAAATGAGAGCCCTGGTGGTCGCAATTTTTCCAAAAAGAAATATAAGAAGTTGTCGCACAGCTCAGTTGAGGCTTCCAGAGGTGATGGTTCAGTGAGGTGGAGAACAGAGTTTAGGGTGGAGAAGAGGACACGTGGGTTGTGAGAGTTTGAGGTAATTATATCAAAGTAGTATTTGGATTTAGCAGCTTTTACTACTTTCTGATAATGGCACCAACTCTCTAAGTATTTGAAAAGAGACCTGCAGCCTGTCTTTCCTCCACTTTGTATAATGGCAGAGGTGCACAATGCCCGAATGATCCATCACTGCTTGATGCTCTCAACAGATTCTATGCATGCTTTGAGGACCGGAACAGACCACCCAGCACCAGACTCACCTTATCACAGGAAGAAGAGTTCCTCAGCGTGATCTCAGCAGAAGTAAGGAGTACTTTCAGAAGGATTAATCCTCACAAGACAACCGGCCCCGACAACATCCCGGGGAAGGTGCTGAACAACTGTGCGGATCAACTCTGCAAGATGCTGGCTGACATATTTAACTCCTCCCTCACCCTGGCAACGGTTCCCACCTCCCTCAAAACTGCCATCATTATCCCACTTCCAAAAAGCTCTACAGTGACTGATTTGAATGACTATTGGCCGGTAGCCCTCACCCCGATAGTCGCTAAATGCTTTGAAAAGCTGGTCATGATCCGCATCAAAGCTAACATCAACATCAACGAGGATCCTCATCAGTACGCATACCATGAGAATCAATCAACAGAAGATGCCATCTCCTCTGTGGTCCAGACTGCTCTCGTCCACTTGGAGCAGGACTCCTACGTCCGTATGCTCTTTGTGGACTTCACATCTGCCTTCAACACCATGATTCCTCAGACCCTGATAGACAAACTAATCAAACTAGGACTAAGTTCCTCTCTATGCAACTGGGTCCTAGACTTCTTAACCAGCAGACCAGTCTGTGAGGATCCACGACTTCTCCTCCTCCACCAAAATTCTTAGCACCGGCTTCCCCCAAGGCTATGTGTTGAGCCCCCTTCTGTTCACTCTGCTAATGTATAACTGTACATGACCCATCCAGGCTGTCATATTCAGGTGGATCATATAGGCGGATATATAGGATCATAGGCGGATGTCATATTCATAATCAGGTCTCTCTTGTAAATGAGTCCTCAAGGCTCAATGGGATTACCTGTCTAAATAAAGGTTGAATGAATATTGTAAAGTTTTCAGACAATACAGGGATGGTTGGATGCACCAAAAACAATGATGAGTCCAGCTATAGGCAGTAGGTGGAACTAGGGGTGGGCGATATGGCTCAAATATAATATTGTGATATTTCAGAGAATTCTGACGATAATGATAAATTTTGTGTTATAACTAAAAAAAAAAAAAAAAAAACAGAAATCATACACCTTACATCGGGGAAACTAAACAGCCACTAGCCAAAAGGATGGACCAGCACAGAAGATCAACATCATCAGGCCAGGACTCTGCGGTCTACGCTCATCTCCAGGCCAGCGGTCACTCTTTCAGGGATGAAGATGTTCACATCCTGGATGGTTTGAGAGAGGAGTAAAGGAGGCCATCTTTGTGAAAAGAAATCGTCCATCATTAAACAGGGGTGGAGGCCTACGTGTTCAATTGTCCCCCTCTTACAATGCTGTGATTGCTAGTATCACTCAACCCCCTGTGAATAGTAAACAGCCATCAGGTGCTAATGATCCATCGTTAGGCCGATGGTCCTTCTTGAGCATGTGAGCAGCTGGTTTTGGTTGTCAGCAGCAAACTGGTTGATCCACTCTGAGTAGGTGCTATTTAAGAGACTGAGCTGAATACAGCACCTCAGACTGCGGAAGTCTTTCGGATGAAAGACGAAACTTTTCTACTTTTTTTTTTGTTCTTATTGAGTAAAGTATTCAGCCTAAAAATAAAAATGATCCTTCTGTTATTGAGATTGAAAAAGTTTGCACCAAATATAAACAAAATCCACCACAAAAACTAAAGTGCAGGTGCAGTTTCCCAACATAACTAAATATTTTTATTTATTTACCCTTTATTTATACAGGTATTCTCATTGAGCCACGAGAACTCATTTTCAACAGAGACCTGTTTAAGGAGCAGATGGTGGGGGTTAAGGGCCTTGCTCAGGGGCCTAGAGTGGGGCGAATGAGGGTGGAGGGAAGTGTGGGTGTTTCACCTTTTCCACCCACATTTTTTTGATGTTGACAGTACCGGGAGTTGAACCTGCAACTTTCCGATCACAGGCCCATCTTCTAACATCTGCGCCACCACTCCCCAATAAATAAATATATAAATAAAATGAAGCTTAAGATCTGTTGAGCATAAATGTAACATACAACAAAATATATGTTGTATTTAAATGAGCTGTATTTCCAGAAGTTGTAACAAGGTGATCAGCTGACCCTGAAGCTTGTGGTGTTTCAGCTTCTTCTGTTCCTGCAGGAATGATTAATTTCTCTGATGCTCTGTCTCTGATCACCTGACTCTCTCTGTTCTTGTTCCATGGACTGTGGAACACAGCTGAGCTGCGCATGTTTGTACCAGCAGTTTAGAGCAGGAGGACCCAGCCAAGCTGTGCCCGCACCAGTAGCCCAGAGCAGGGTGGGGGGAGAGAAAAAAGCCGAGCTGCGCTGGTGTGGAAGGGGAGAGATAGTTGAGCCGTCAGTCTGTACCCGCAGTTTAGAGCTGGATGGAGAAACGCAGCCGAGCCGCACATCGTTTGTTTTTAGCATTTTAGCTAGCTAGTATTGTGCCCAGCTAATTAGCATTATGCCAGTACCGACAGGTGGTGGTGGTGTGGGGGGGGTGGGGGGGTGTTGCAGTTTGGTTCAGTAGTTCGGTGCACTCAGTTCTGTTAATGAGGCGGGGCAAAAACTGACGTACTTATGTCATGAAATTAGCACATCGTGATATCATTTATTTTCCCGGGCAAGCTTTTTTTTTTACTGGTATTATCGTGAACAATATGATATGGCCCAGCTCTATTGTGAGGCTACCCGCCTTGTGTGAAGGCATGTGCCGTGCTTCGAGCACTCAGACTCAGATGCTTTGTGAGCTAAGCTGTAAGCTGGACGAGATTTCTGAGAATCGCAGGCCAATTGCGGTTCCTGGAACTCGCTAGCGTGAAGAAATCAACCTTGGAGAAGGCTATAAGCACGGCCCGGTAGAGTGACCACAAAATATGGCTGTTTGGAGTCGCCATTGAAACGTACCAGCAGGACTAGGGAGGCGGACAAAAAAAAATCAAGCAGAGTCGGCCTGACACAAAACAGATGTTATCTGAATCTGGCTTTCCCACTTGGCCTTGAATAGGCTAACTATTTCAAATTTCTCCTGGAGGTTATGTGAACAAAAAGCTCTGCTTTGCTACTCCCCCTACCCGCTCCGTTCCCAAGGACATCTATGGATCTGTATCAGAGCTGAGCCGGCTGATAGACAAGGTGCCATCTCTCATTAGGAATATGGAACTTGCTGGCAGTGTCCACCGCCTTTGTCAGCCACCTCTTGCATAAATGTATTATGATGTCATTGGTATGTTGTTGTTTATGTGCGAGGTCTTTTTTGCAACTTTCACACTGTGCCGTGATCAAGACATAGTGTGAGATATGATTCTTTTTTACCTCCGCTCCCCTCATGTTTCTCTTTTCCTTATCTGCTTTTGTCTGTCTGAAACAAGTCTCTCTTGTAAATGAGTACTCGAGGATCAATGGGAACTTGTATAAATAAAAGGTTGAATGAATGCTGCACTGGACTCTTACCGCAGCACCTTCAGTTCTAGACTGAGACCACCGAGACGCTCCACAGAGCGCCACAGAGCGCCACAAGAAGTCCTTCCTCTATGTGGCAATCAAACTTTTCAACTCCTCCCCATTTTCTACACATAGGACAAAATAAAAATTCCTGCACTACAATAAACACTTTAATGTTTCTGTCTGCACCTGACCTGTTATAGACCTTAATTGTTGGTATTTTGATGTTCTCTGGTATTTTTATATCAGAAATTTTGTGAAATTCCTACCTAAATTGACCCCAGTCTACATAAAAAGTGCCACAGCTAGAGCTGCCACTATTTGCGCTTGCAAATAATGTTCAAGTAATAAAGTTCAAATAACTGCAGAGCTTTGAGTAATAATGTGTTGACAAATTCACAGCAATGTAAAAGTCTATCAAATAGCGTTCACATAAACTGCTATTAAAGTTTGAAGACTGGAAGTTATTTTAAGATGGCTTTGGTCTTTCCACTTTGGTCTTGGCCTTCTTCAGTATTTATATAATGTTCAAGTTGAAGATCTCAACAATTCAATGTGAGCCAGACATTTTTTAAATGAAATGAACTGTAATATGACTAATAAAACAAATGTGTCTCAATAACATTTTGGTAAAGATCTTGTACTTACCTTCACTCAGTGAGGCATGGATGGGAGGAGACACCAGCGGGACAAAAGTTTCCAAGTCAAAACGACCAGTCCTGGACTGAGCTTTGAGCAGCCAGTAGCGCTTCTCCAAGTCAATGATGTCAGACTCCTCCACTGCAGAAGAAGATAAGAGATCAAGTCATGACAAGAACTGTAATTTAAGAGCAAATATGGCTGCTCATTCAAGCACAAAATGCACAGCTGTCAATCAACACTTTCCAAAGAGTAAGTAACTAATGAGGAAGCAAAGGTTCAAATACCGAAACAAAAACTGCCTGTTAAGCATTCGTGTCCTGATGTAAGGGAAGACATACTTTTTTTGGGTGGGGTGGAAGTATTTTATAAGTGCATGCTAAGTTAGTTTTATTTATAGTACATTTTATAGACAGTGATGTGAAAAGGTATTTGCCCTCTTACAAAAGTCTTTCATTTGTGTATATTTTATAACACACTTTTTAGATAATCAAACTAATGTTAATATCATACAAGGATAGCCTGAGGAAAAACAATGTATTTTTCACATATTGTTTACTTTTAGAGTCAGAGTCAGAGATTCTTTATTGTCATTCGCACCTCATGTGGTACATGTGGTGGAGCGAAATTATGTACACAGGGTCCCAGTTACATCCAACAATAAAATGTATAAGAAAAACAGTAATAACATCTAAGATATGAACTAAGAAAAACATCAACTAAATATACACTAAGCACTCATAACATAAAACATTGAACATCAGCACAAACATGAACATGAGTCTGTGAGCAGATGTGCACGCATGAACACATCAACACTGAAACAGATCAGCAGCGACATGAAACAGATCAGCAGCAACATGATATGGTTTTTCACAGTGATTATTCTAGTTAGAGATTCATGAGTCTAACAGCCTCAGGGTAGACGCTGTTCCTCAGTCTAGTGGTTCTAAACTTAATGCTCCTCAACCTCCTTCCTGAGGGGAGTGGGGCAAAAAGTGTGTGTGCTGGGTGAGTGGGGTCCTTCATGATGCAGGTGGCCCTCTTCCTGCATCTGGAGGTGTAGATGTCTGTGATAGTGGGGAGGCTGACTCCAACATCTTCTGTGCAGCCTTCACCACTCTCTGCAAAGCTTTTCTTTACGCAACTGTGCAGCCTCCATGCCACACGTTGATGCTGGAGCACAGGATGCTCTCCACTGCACACCTGTAGAAGGAGGTGAGGACTGAGCTTCCCTCAGCCGTCTGAGGAAGTAGAGTCTCTGATGAGCTTTCTTGATCAGGCTGGTGGTGGTGTTGCTCCAGCTGAGATTGTCATTCATGTGTACACCCAAGTACTTGTAGCTGGAGACCACTTCCACCGCAGATCCTCTTATGTTCAGGGGGGTGTAGGTGTTTTTGTTCCTTCTGAAGTCTACAATCATCTCCTTTGTCTTCTTCACATTGATGTGAATGTTATTCTCTCTGCACCAGCTCTCCAGGTGTTCCACCTCTTGCCTGTAGCTGGACTCATCATTGTTTGTGATGCATCCCACCACCGCTGTATCATCTGCAAACTTTACAATGTGACAGCCTGGATGGGTAGCTGCACAATCATATGTGAGCAGAGTAAACAGAAGGGGGCTCAACACACATCCCTGAGGAGAGCCAGTGCTGAGGGTTATGGTGGAGGAGGAGAGGTTGTGGATCCTCACTAACTGTGGTCTGTTTGTTAAAAAGTCTAGTACCCAGTTGCAGATGGAGGGGCTTAGTCCTAGTGTGGATAGTTTGTCCATCAGGGTTTGGGGGATCATGGTGTTGAAGGCGGATGTGAAGTCCACAAAGAGCATACGGACGTAAGAGTTTTTCTGCTCCAGGTGGTTGAG